AATGACTTCCTTGGGAAGGACTTATCAAGCCTAATTTCCAAAACCTTAAGCAGGTTGGGATCTAGTTAGGGCATGGCTGAGGGGTCAGGTGAGTGTAATGGCATTTGCTGCTCTAATTTACAGGATGTTCTTACCCATGACTGTATATCTATTTACGCTTCATTCAGAAATACTTCTGTATCTTTGTGGTTGGCCAGAGAGAATACTCCTCCACAGTATGGTAGTATGAAATCCACTTTTTAGATCCTGTGCACCTGAAGGAATGGATACAGACCTACTAGCTCTTCTTTTTAAAGTTCATCCTCATCATAAACTGGAGATTAATGCTGATTTTTGTTTTGCGTCTCTTCTTGAGGCATTTGGGAAGGGAACTTAGCAAAATAACCTGATTCTGTATATGTCCAAGTTGTTTGTTTACATAAAAACATTCAAAAAAATAAAAGTCCAGTTTTTGCAAGCCTCTGCATCGTAAGCTGCCATTTACTATATGGTAAGAGTCCAGATCCACATATTAGCTTCGTTAGCCTGGAATCGCACAACTTTTTTCTCTATGCCAAAGAGACCCAAACCATATTATGATGAGAAATAAGTCTTTGCATGGGGACCTAACCTACTCACAAACAGGCAAAGCATTTCTGGCCTTATATTGGCTGCCAATAGGTTAACTTAGCACATTTTTGTATCTGCAGGCTACATATCTCCTTTTTTTTTCTTCCAGAGTATCCCTTTCTATTAACTAATTGTTGACTCTTTTCCAAGGCACCCATCTCCTCCAGTCTGGGCCACAGAACCCATGTTTAAGCAATACATGTTAATGCTAATGTGTTACTATAGAAATGTCAAGGGCCCAACTCTGTAGGAAGGAATTTCCACATCACTTTTGTGAGCGGGGGGATAAAGGTCACTAAAATCAGCAAACTGTACCTTGGATTTACACTTGCATCTAAAGAGTCTAAATCAGAGATCAGTCTTTATTGTAGCCACAGGAATAGGCACAAATAGTGTATTCCCTACCAGCTGAGGCACAGTAAAGAACATAGGCTTGCCTCTTTGTCCAGAATTCTCAGTGGAGCCAGCTCAATTTGGTATCATGTTTCATCATCTCAGGCAGACTGTCCTGGCCCTGGCATTATCTGTGGAGTGAGGCCAGAGGAGGAGTTTGACAGATGATGCAGCATTTTCCTCTTGTGCTTCTTCTCTCCCTCTGCACAACCTCCTGTTGGCACAAGAATAACTGGAGCCTTGAAGCACCTCTGAAGGCAGGGCGTGGCCCTAGAAACACTAAAACTCCAGTGGGACTGGGATGGCAAAGCAGCTCTGCTCACTCAGTTGGCTGGGGAAGGGGGAGATGTGAGGAGGATGAGGCAGGCTAGTCTGAGCAGAGCTCGCTGTGAGATTCTGAAGCAGGCAGCCTGTGAGCCAGATCTGGAGATGCTGTGGGGGAAGGGACCTGCAGCAGAGTACGGTACTGCAGCCTGGAAGGGAGCCAGGCCTGAAAGAGATGCTGCAGATGTAGGCAGCTGGAGGGGTTAGAGATGGTGTGCGGGTAGGAAATAATACTGGGCTGGGCCCTGACAGGTGGAGGAAGAGCATGAAAAAACAAGGGCGGTACAAGAAGTTACTGTTTCCTGTTTTGCCAGGTAAGATCTACAGCTCTTGTTCATCTGACCCCACTCCAGGTGTCAGGCGAGAACCCCTTTGGCAGAGCCCTTTCTGTTCTCTCAGTCCAGAGGGCAGTGGGTGAGGAAGGGAGGGAATTCACCCACCAATACACACAGGTTAGCCCTTGGTATTGTCTCCACTGGGCTCATGAGATAGGAGGCTGTTGTGATTTCATGGGCTCTGTGCACACAGATAGCAACATGTGATCTGAACAGGTAATAATCCCTTTCTTTGTGTTATATAAGAGTTAGGTAGCATTGTTATGATTTCTTAACTCCATGATGACCCTTGTGCAAGGACAGTGCAAGATCACTGTTTTCATTTCTGTTCATCTCAGCACCAGAAAGATATCAGCAAAGCAGAAACACAATTTAAAGGAGAACAGCTAAAGATGAATAGGCTGGTGAGGAATTAAGATTACAGGAGAAGAGCAAAAGAATTAAACGTAGGTAGTAGTAGTAGTTTGCCTAAAAGTTCAGTGCAGAGAAGGTGGGGACATAATGGTGGGTTAAACATACTATAAAGAACTGTTCAGAGCAGCCTCAGTAGAGGAAAGGGTCTTACTGGAGGTAGGGAGGTTTAAAAATAAAATGTGAATAGAAGAAACTATTCTGAAGGGGAGATGCATTAGAAAACTTATGCTGAGCACTCAGACTCTGTAATCTCTCATCTGTACAATGAGAACCCAATGGTTCTTGACTTTTATTCAGCTTTGAAGCATGCTGCTAAGCATGTCTGCTTTTTCCTAGCTGTATCAGTTAACCTAAGATATGTCCTCTCCCTAGAAACTTTGCTTACTTCTGTCCACAGACCATCACAGCTGTCACGACAAGGCTGCTGTAGTATTACCCTTTTTACAGTGACTGTTATTGGTTTTTGAAATATGTTTTGAGATACTTGAAAGAGGCTGCACTGATGCAGAATATTTTCAGCAAAGCAGTGCATTTGCTTTGTAATAAGAGGAACCATATATGTAACTATGCAGTGCAAGCTGTTAGTTGTCTGAGGTTACTTATCACATCATTAACCTGAAAAACAGACACTTCAGTGGTAATGCAGAGTAGATTGTATGATAATTTATCTTTTTAACATTCTTAAAGAGAGTGTTATCACTGGCTGTGTTTTAAGGTAAATTCTCATGGCACTCAAATGTAGTTGCATTGTGATTATTTCAATTGGTTACTACAACCTTGCAGGAAGCTTTGTGTTTAGAAATCCATCAATTATTCCTTGACAGGAGAGACTATAAAAACTGTCTGTGGGAATTACTATGATGTTGCTAAATCTCTTTTATATAAATGTTTCTAACATTTCCATGGAGATCTTTGTGAATAGTGGTGAGGAGGGGGAGGTGACAGGTGTCTTTTTTTTTTAACTACCAGAAATATATACATAAAAAGGAAATTACTTTTTGGATGCATGAATGAGGTAACATTAGAAACAAATTCAGGGCAATTCAAAGGACTTGACTCTTTGTTTCCTTGTGCCTTGTGCAGACATTTACACCAAGGAGAAAAGGGACTCCATGCTACCAAATCTTTGGTGTAAATGTTTGCACAAGGAACTGGAACTTGTGCTACCTGTCCCTCTCCTTTATGCATGTACGTCTATATTGTTACACAGACATACTTGGGGCAGGAGGTACAAGGGCTCATTCTAATCTCACTTACACTATTTTAACTGGTCTCTGTCAATTTACTCCTGCTTTCACTCACTGCACTGGGTGAAATGAGAATCAGTCCCAGAGTATAGGAATAGTAATTACTCCTCCACATACCACGCCCCCTTTCAAACCACGCCCCCTCCCTAACCCCTCCCTCCCTCTTAGCCCTTCCCCTAACCCCTCCCCCTCTCACTCACTCCCCTCCTAATCCTAACCCTCAAAATAAAAGCAAAGTGGAAGCTTTGTTAATTTTGAAATTCTTTGATTTTTGTCAAATGGGGGTGAGGACTTAAACACTGTATTCTTGTATGTTAAGGAACATGCCAGCTCTTGAAAAGTACTTTCAAGTGTTGGGTTTGATGTTAAGGTTTAGTTTTCTTTTTTAAAGGAATGTGGGGAGGGATTGGAAAACAGAATATAAAAGATGATACAAACTGCCTCTTTGTAATAATTTAAATGCAAATTTGTCAGAGGTTGGAATGATTTTTTCCCCCCCTGCCTGACCTAAGATGCATCCCAGCACTATTGTTAGTAAATCAAACTTACTACAGTGCTTGAAAAGAAATTGCTGTCTCTAGGTGTCAGGAAGGGAGAAGACAGTTGACTCCCCTTGGGAGAGATCAGATATCAGACTTAGTGAGCCCATGTCTAGCCCATACAGCTCCCACCTACACCCCCATCCTCATCCTGGCTTTGGTGAGGTTGTATAATCGATGGCGATCTCCTCTGATCAAGCACTGGATGGAAAGAGAGAGGGAGAGAATGAATGCACAACTCCTGCCTGCCTCCTTTTGATGGCCTTTATGGCTCCTAATTGGATAAAATAGGAAGTCACTGACAGTCCTGTGTTGCTGGGTGTACTGATTTCACTCAGATCAGCCCTGCAGAGGGGTGGGGAAGGGAAAGAATGAATGTGTCTGTATATCAGAGAAACAGATCGTGAAGGGGGCTGGGAAGGAGGAAAGTGAACAAGCACTCAATCGCTCAGGAAGGACAAAGAGGGAGGGGAGAGAAAGGGAGTTACCATCCTCTTGGCATTGCTCTTCCTTTCAAACCTCTGTGTAACATTGTTTGCAGTGATGCTCAGAGAGCAAGCACCTGCTGCTCTGTAATGATTCAGCCTCTTTCAGATGCCACTTTAACACAACAGGATGCTGCTGCTGCTACTGTCACTGCTGCTGTTGTTAGTGATTTTGCTTTTGCTTATTCTGCTGCATGACAGTTGTTTTCCTCCTCTAAGCAGATACCAGCCTCAGATGCTCAAGGTGAGAGTCTTGCCTTTTGCTCCAAGCTATTGGCTCACTTAATCTAGACAATTTGTTCCTTGTTTCTGGTTTCCTTTTTTTTTCTTCCCTGTTTTGTTTTGTTCTTTTTGCTTTTCTGGGAATGTTTTTTCCCTCCCTTGGAAGAGCTGGAGTTCCTTGAGAGGCATTTAAGGAATTCTAAAAGTGGCCAGGAAACAGGAGCTTAATAATTACGAAGTTACTCTTGCTTGAAAGGGGGATAGAGAGAGCTCTGGATGGAGGAGGGAGGCTGGTTGCCTATTTTTTTGTGTATGTTAACCCTCTTCCAATTTGGATGATGTTGCTCAACTCGGGCTCTTTGACTTCCACTCTGATTTTTTTGTAGAGCTGTGTGACTATTATTATCATATTTTTCTGTCTGTGTCTTATAGTAATGGACTGTGATAGAGTTAAAGCCTTTTGGAGGTGAGCTGTTTGAGAGCTGATGTTTAAACATGTCTGAAGTAGCTGCTGACATTTTCCCCAACTCCTCAGCTCAGCTGAGCCCTGATTCATCTCTTGATGGGCTCCCATCTGAGAAGAACATGCCAGGGACCCAAAGAGAGGACAGGAGGGTCCAGGGAATAGCAAGCCTTCCTGCTACCTTCTGTGTGTGCCTGGAGGCAGAGCAACTGAAGGGCTGCCTAAACTCTGAAAAGATCTGCATCGCCCCCATCCTGGCTTGCCTGCTCAGCCTTTGCCTCTGCATTGCTGGCCTCAAATGGGTGTTTGTGGACAAGATTTTTGAGTATGACTCTCCTACCTACCTTGACCCTGGGAGGATAGGACAAAATCCAAAGAGTGCTGTGGATCCTACAGCTCTGTCTGCTTGGGTACCTTCAGAGGTGTATGCCTCACCTTTCCCCGTAACTAGCCCTGAGAGCAAGGCTGAAGTGACAATGCAAACTGACAGCTTGCTTGTGCCCTCCAAACCATTCCTCCAGCCTTCTCTATATAACCGCATCTTAGATGTTGGGTTGTTGTCCTCTGCTGCACCTTCATTGTCACCACCTGCCCCGGAGCCTACCACAGTGTTCCAGGCACAAGCAACAGAAACCAGTCTCCAAACTGCTCCAAAACTTTGTAAGTAGAAGCTATGTTTCTTTGTTTTTCTTTCCACAAAAAGGTACTTATTTTTTCTGCAGCTGTCCTCAAGGATGGCACATGATTGGCATGCTAAAAAATGTGCTAAGGCAGGTGTGGCATGTGTTACATTCTGAGGACTGCATCAAAGGGCTCTTGAACTTACTGCTACTAGGTGTGCACGGCAATAAATAGGGCTTGGTTTGGGATCTTCTTAAAGAGTCAGTGCAAGCTACTTCTCTGCATCCAATTGTAGGGAAGCATGTGGTTAGGTTGATTGATATGCGTTTACTTAATAGCTGTTCCACATAGTCTAGCAGGCTATTTCTCTTATACTTTTACTGGATCTTCCATGCATGTTCATTTTCTTTGCCCTGCCTGCAGACGACATCTGCTGCCTTCTCCTTGAATTCTGTTGCTGGTAAACATCATCTTCCTGAAACAGTCAGGGAGAGCAGTGGGAAAGAG